TCCTTCTCTGATTACAACAGAATTGAACTAGAAATCAACAATGAAACACTATCTGGGAAAATCACCAAAAATTTGGAAATTAAGCAACACAATATGAACTAATATGTGAATTGAAAAAAAATCAAAATGAAATTAGAAAATACTTTAAGTTTAATTGAAATGAAAATAGCAAGCAGAGCATTGTGATGCATGCCTGTAATTCCAGCACTCTAGAGGCTGAGGCAGGAGGATTGTTGCAAGTTCAAGACCAGCCTGCTCTTCAAAGTGAGCTCAAGTCTAGCCTGAACTGCGTAGTGAGACCCTGTCCCAAAAAAAAAAAAAAAAAGAAAAGAAAAGAAAAGAAAAGAAAAGAAAAAAGAAAGAAAGACAAAAGGAAAATAGCATCACACTGGTGTTGATATTTATTAGTTAAAATGAATATCAATATTTGTGAGACATAGTTGATATATTGCTTGAAAACCTTATAGTATAAGACATCTAGAAAAGAAGAAAACTCTTATTTCACTGACCTCAATTTCCACCTTCATTTGTACTTGCAGTAAGTAAATGAAATATAAAGAAGAGTCAAATAAAAAAAGAAAAACAATAAAGAAAAATATCAATTAAATCAAAGTTTATTTTTGAAGAAGACATAAAAAAGACAAGCCTTTGACCAGCCTGATGGGGATTAAAAAAGAGAAGACACAAATTGTCAATAGCAGAAATAAAAGAAAGACATCATTACAGACCTCACAGACAGTATAGGAAGGTGATGGTTATGAACAACATTATACAAATACATCAAATGAATGAAATAGAAAAATTTCTTAGAAGACTCACACTACCAAGTTTCCTTCAATACAAAAATATGTAAACTGGTCATATGTCTCTTAAATAAATTGAGTTTGTAGTACAAACTTTTCCACACAGGAAACTCCAGGTTCAAGTGTCTTGACTGAAAAATTCTATGAAATTAAGGAAGATATATTACAAATCCTCCAAAAACTCTTCCAGAGAATAGCAGAAGAGAGAATACCTCACTGCCCTTTATCCAGCTAGCTTCGTCCTAGGAAAAAATCAGACAAACACACCACAACAAAGAAAAAGATACAGACCAATATTTCTCATGAGGAAAACTCCAAAATTCTAAAACAAAAACAAAAACAAACAAACAAAAAAAAACTCCTTCAATATGTGAAAAGGAAAATATATGATGGCCAAATGAGATTTATCCTAGCAATATAAGGTTGGAACATTAGAAAATCAGTCAACATAATTCAAATATTTAAGCAAAGAGCAAAAAGAATATGATTGTCTCAATAGATACAGAAAAAACACTTGGCAAAGGGACCTGTGCCCATTTACTTGAATGACTGTACACTAGAGGAAGTGGAATCTCAGACTTCTGTACACAGGTTCTAATTCACTTTGTTCTCCGGAAACCTGAATAACTATGAACCTCTTATTGGAGTAGGGGCTTACGGGAGTAATGAAGACCTGGCTAAAGTCTGGTACACAGTGGCCCCACTAAATCTGTGGACTGCTTCAGGGGCCCTTCCACCATTTCCATGTACAATGCAAACAGATATGCTTGGCAGTGTCATATGGAGTTACCCTCACATTTCTCCCTTGGTCTGTGTGGTCCGTGTTATCATAGTGAGGATGGTCGAACCAAATCTAAAATTGTTCTCCTGCCAAGATAATAAATGCAAAACAAGATTGTGACCTCTCCTTTTCATGGCCACGCTTTCTCTGTAGGAACTGGGTGGACCCTGGAGAATGACAATAGGTTACTACAACTTCAACCAGTAGTAATCCCAGTGATTGTAGGTGCCAGGCCAGAGGTGGGGTCATAGCTAAAGCATATTCAGAAGGCCTCAGAGACATAGTATATGGTCATCAATTTGGTGGATGTGACCCTTTCTATCCAGATTAGAAAAAAGATCAGGAACAGTTTGCATTCATGTGAGACAGACTACAGTATTCACTTACCTATTTTCCTCAGGGCTATGCTAATTCAGCTACCCTCTGTTAAAACAAAGTCTGAAGTGACCTAGATCACCTTAATCCACTGACCATCAAACTCATCCAAACATCAATAGCATGTTCATGGAGCAAGAAAACCTAGAGGTGCTTGAGGCAATAGTAAAGCACATGAGCTCCAGAAAGGCGTTGATAAACTGTGAAAACCAGGGACCTCCTCTTGAGCAAAGGTTTCAAGGGATCTAGTGGTCAAATTTCTACTGCAAAATCCTCTCCAATATAAAAGAGGGAGCACAGAGCCTGGTAGGCTTCTTTGCACTCTGAAGGCAATTCAGACCACTTTTAAGAAAGGGACCAACCCACAAATTGGACAACATCCTTGCTGCCAGTGCCTGAAGCACAAAGGGCTCTGTATAAGATGCAGCCCATGGTACATGAAAGATGAGAGAAAAGGATAAAGGATAGTTAGGAAGAGTCTGAACCACAGCACTGCCCTGCAAAAGTCTCAGCTAGCCCAACAAGGAGCTCCGGAGTGAAGACTGCCTGGTGGAGGAGACCCATGAGGAGCGCTTGCCAGGCCTCACACTTTCACTGTGCCATTCACGGTTGTGGGGCTGCCTAAGGAAACCATGGCCTCAGCTCAACTGCTGTGGTTGAGTCAGCAGAGGAACTGCACCCAAGGAGGGTGTCACCTCATTGTGCCCCTCAGAATGGATCTGCAAGTTTTTCTTGAAGGGAGATTTGAATGGCTGCCATACCATCTTTAGGAAAGAATTGTCACTCTGCTGTGATGCTGGTGTGTGTGTGTACACAAGTGCTCACACAAGTGGCAAAGACTTATTTAATTCATTCATGAGGGAAATAGTATGATAGCAATGGTTTGAAGAGAGGAGGAATTGCTATTTATAGTTAATGGACAAAATTAATGGTGGAATAAAATTGCAAGTTAGACTGAAAGTAATATCCTGCAAGATAATAAAACTGTCATCTATAGAATTTATATTTTCTACTGGACAGAAATAAATTATAAAGTATCAAGCTTCAATATGCATTTGTTTTATAGACTGTCATCTTTATCAGTAGCAAATAGTCAAAGCTATGCTATAAAACAGTGGTTCTCAACTTAGGCTGTTAGGGTGCTGTCCTTGAAGGGGATATTGGAACACTGACCACCCCCACTTTGTTTCCTGGTGGACACAAGATGAACACAGGTCCTCTGCCACACTGCACTCCCACTGGCCCAACACAGCAGAGCCAAGAGACCATGGACTGAAATCTCCGGAACCATGAACCAAAATAAATCTTTCCTCTGTATGTTGATCATCTCAAGTATTTTGTCAGTGACTAAGCACAGCATGGGCTACTGGAATCTGGCAGATAGAAGCCAAGAATGCAACTGAACAGTTTACAATGACCAGGGAAGCCCTTCATGACAAAGAAAAACCCATCCCAGAATGCAAATAAAATCAAGACTGAAAACCATCTACAGATAGCACATTAGCTTATTGGATAATGTTTTGAAATTGAAAGAGTGTATGAAGAAGTATTTTAATATTTTTATTTCACTAACTTACATGTAAAATTGAGATAATCATAGTAGCAACCTTTTATAGTCTTGGGAGAACTAAATAAAATTACGGTTAATTATATTTGTTCAACTATCCCACCCCACATCTTCTTCCCATAAGACACTGACGTTTCTGTGTTGAGGGGTGAGGTTATGTTCTCTATCCACGAACATGGGTGACCTCAGTGACTACTTCTATCAACAGAACACAGTGAAAGTGACCCTTCCTGACTTCTGAGGCTAGACACCCTAAGCCACTGCGGAAAAAGTCTGGCTACACTGGAGAGAAGGGACTCATCCAAGGAGGTCGTAAAAGATGTTCTCCAGTATTCCCAGCTCAATCAGCAGACACTGGAACAAACAAAGCTTTGAGATGGCTACAGATACCATCCGGCAGAACCACCCTACTAAACTGCCCACAGAAACCACACGGGATAAATTGTTGTACTTTCAGCCTGTATGTGCAGGGGTGATTTGTTTCACAGCAATAGACACTAAAATAATAACACACACACAGTCCTTAGAAGAATATTTAGCCAATGCATAAATAGGTCTCTCGGCGGGAAGTTTTAAAATTTTCAACATTAAAACTTTAGTGCTTTAGTATATTTGGCATTTTAAACTTAATAATTTCGTCAGTAATTGATACTTAATTAATGTTAACTGCGTTTCCATGCACTAGAGGGCAAACTAACCCATTCAACAGAGAACGATCTTTGAACGTACACGGAGATGTAGTTCCTAATCAGAACACCAGATGGAGCCTGCTCCTCATTTATGTCTGTCCCTCTCAGAAGAGGAATTCGACAAAACAGAAAAAAGGCCGCAAAATCAAGACGCTACCATATAGAAGGAAGATGTTTAAGAGCGTGCTCTGTAAACAAATTGTAAACCACAAGACTGATTTTGACGAATAATTTTGCCCCGGGCTAGGTGTGGAGACAAAAGACAAGAAAATCCTATTGTTCGTTTTTTTTCTTTCCTTGCAAATACACCAGAGCAGGTTATAGTTTCTTTAATCCCTAAAAAAGAGAAGGAATTTGCAAACCTGTAATTTCTAAACAATGCTCTACCTAATCTTTGCCCTATCTTGAAACACAGCAGATACAGCCTGTGTTGCAGCTAGCTCCTGACCGTGAGATGAAATCTCCTGATATTTAGGTTCATGTTACATTTTTATTATGTATTACATTTGTATATTATATTGATTTTGATATTGATATCAATAGGACCCCAGATAACATTTATACCATTGTAGCCTAACTTTTTTAATTTCCATTTTTCTCTAGTTCATTGTTTTATGTACAGAAGGATTTAATGGTCCAGTGACTGCAAATGGGCTGTGATCCCAACTTGGCAGGAAATCTGGGGACCAAATCGCTTACAATGAATTAATTGCATGAAGCAGTGACATTGTAAGTCTCCCATTTTTTCTGAGAAATTCAAAGTAGGCTTTGCCTGTTATACACAGCAACCTGAGAATACTGTCAACCTGCACCGTCAACCTGAGGACAGTCGCCCAGCTTCTGTGTGACTCTTGAAGGCTGCTCCTACCCTGAGACGGCTCAAGGAGTGTGGCCTTTAATACACCAGTGATCTGGAGAACAAAGAAATTTCTGTGGTAAGTTGATCTGATTAGAGGGGTCACACTACAAGATCAAGACTTTGCAGTCTGGAAGAGTATAAATCCAAGCAGGGCAGGGGCTGGAGGTGGCTCAAATTCTGAAGAGTCGATTCTTTGAGGATGTCCTACAGCTTTGACCCAACCCCTACCCCAGCCAACCTCCCACCTCGCTGATGAGCCACAGGGTGAACGGAGGGTGAATGGAGGGAGAACTGATCAATGCAAAGCCTATTAATTTTATGCTACATTAAATCAAAACAAAGCCAAGCACAAAGGTAGAGCAATCAGTAGACCCAAGTTCCTATCTACCATGTATAATCTGTATAGAGATCGATTTCCATGGAGAACTTAAGGCAGCGTCTGGTCACTTTATGATCATAATGTGTACCCATAACATCTTTCTCTATGACATACTAGTAGCAAAGGCTGTGCTCTGTGGCTTAACCACAAATTGTGGACTATGAATGCTTCAGAACATCTCCAACCCCTCCTAGCTAGTTCTGGAAATTCCCAGGGAGTATCACAAACATGCTCCTAAGAAGATCCCTTGATTCCCAGAAACAGATTTGTGATTCTAAAGTATCCATGGTGACAAGCTCACTGCTCTCTTTAGAGGTTCCTTGGGCGGGTACCCTGGGCCACTAACAATGGCCACACATAAGCCACTCCTCAGGCAAATGAAAACCTCACCCTACACTGCCCTCACCTTTCCCCTAGTTATGCCTCAACACATCTGACTGTGTGAGGTGCAAATAGCACATCAGCACTTTGGTTTTATAGGCGAATAGCTTTGAATAAGTACCTCTACTTTTGCAGTAATTTTATCTGGCATGGATTAAGGCAGGATTTAGAATCTTTAAGCAGGCAAAAGATTTCTTCAGATGGACCCGTTTCCAAAGCATTGGGCCACTGGATGGAATTTTTCAGTATGATAGCCCTTGTGGAGTAGAGACAACTCACTGAGGTTGGGAGGGATGGACAAAGCAGAAGCACTGCCCAAGCTCTGCCTCTCTCTCGAACAAAGTAGCATATTGTATAGCTCTTCTTCTCCACTTGTAAATGTCAGATTGCCCTCACATGGAGGTCAACCCCATATCTTTCTGTGCATCTAGATTTCCACTCTGCCCTCTGAGCTATGCCCTTTTCTTGTAAATTTGCAAAATAGGGACTTGCAAAATTATTCTGTCACACACAGAGTGTTTCTTGACCTAAAAGAGGGTGCTAATGAACTGGATCAGGCAATGGTTACCTGAAAGCAGGTGGTTAACCCAAGGACACTGAAGTCAGTTTTTCCTTGTCTGATCCTTTTTCCTCACAGTTTTTCCCTCTTCACCTTAAACCCCAGCTAAACTTTGCTTTACTATGGTTCAATAAAGCAGAACATGTGTTTGTCTCTTCTTTATTAAACTTGCCTGGATGGCCTTTTAAATCTCTGATGCCGTGGAAAGACTGGATCTGATAGAAGAGTATACATTTGTCATTTTTTCCCAGTTGCTTGGAAATTCAAATTCTCTGACAGCAGCAGCAGGAGGAGGAGGAGGAGGAGAACCAAAGGACAAACTTGGTGGCATTTTCCAGGAGAATCTGTCTTCTGTGATGATAATTCAAAACCAATACTGGGGGAGATTTTGCTAGACCATTTATGAATGCTGACAAAGTACTAAAATACCTACATCAAACACAGTGAACTCAAGTGAACTTATTATAACAGGGAAGTCTGTCTGTTTTAAGTGCTACCCCAGCAGGAACCACCTCTACTTCTGTAGAGAAAAATGTGCCAATAGAACGAACAGAACAGGGGGAAGGGTTGTACCTATTCCAGAACTCCTAATCTCTTAATTTCTGGTAGTTATTCCATCTTAAGCATTACCATCTAGACAGAAGGTTTCTTTCTTACTTGTCTAATCTGGAGATTTGTCTGTGGGAATCACAAATGAGAATTCTACAGAGGGAAAGCAAAAGTATCTGGAGCCGTGTGGTAGCAGTGTCTGTAATTATTCTAGACAGGCCATTCTCACTCTGCCTATATGTTGTGCTGCTTTGTTCCCAGTTTTACTTCCCCAGTTTTTTAGGAATAGCCATGAGGCCCCAATCCACAGCAAATCAGTCTCCCCCAACCCTTTCCCTCCCTTCCCTAACCTAAGGCCCACTCAGCAGGCTCAGCCCATGCTACTTCCCAAAGCATCCTTGGGCAGATTAAATAATTTTGAACTCCAAAGCCATTCTTGTTCAAATGTGCAATTTGCAGAGCTGGCGAATGACAGGGGGAAAGCCCAGAGCCATAGAACATGTTTGTTTAAGAACATATTTTGGCTACTAACAATGTGTTTACAGGAGCTCCATGAGCATGTACAGATAATTATAATTCTAGAAGAAATGTGGTAGATGAAATTAGAATCCTTCATTTAAAATTTTAACATAGATCACAAGAAGAAGACATTTATTTGAGTTGGGAAATACAAAAGGAATTCAAGGAGGAAAGTCTTTAAGTGCAGAGAAAGATTTGGGCATACACTCACAAGTATAACAATACTCCAAGTGGGGCTGGGTACACTGAGGCATGGGTTGGGAAGTAAGTAAGCATGTTTGATACAGTTATATTTTAGAGAAGCAATACAGGAAGGAAAATAGCAATGAAGATCAGATATTTTTATCTATTTACCTAGGCCACCTCTGTCCAGCAGAAATTTCCATAACAATAGAAATGTTCTAAATAGGATCCGTGCTACATGAGGCCACTAGATACAATGGCTATCAAGCCTTTGACATATGGGTGGTGCAACCAAGGAACTGAACTTTTAATTTAACTTAAATAGTTACATGTGGCTACTAGCTGTCATATTGACCACTGAACTTTCAGCCAGTGGATATGACCTAATCAGAAATGTGCCTCAGGATAAATAATCTGAAATTGACTGCAAAGTGGATTGTAGAGGAGACCCTTTGAAGGGAGATGAAATACTGTCTCTGGGTAAGTGGGGCTATTTTTAAATAAAAATGGAAATATTTTCTTCAAATTAAAAAAAAATAAAACATCAAAGTAAAAGGAACCTTGTTCAAATGAAGTTGCAGAAATGGACCCTATCAAGAGGACATATCACGTTCCTATCTTGCCATGCATGGGAGATCCTAAGGAGTTTCTCTGGAATTCCCAAGAGAGTGAGGAGAGGTTGGGGATGTAGCTCAGTGGCATGGTGCATGCCTGGCAAGTGTGAGGTCCTGAGTTTGATTCCAATAGAAAAGAAAAAAAAAAAAAGCAAATCAAATCCTCCCAAGAGAGTGAGCAGTTCTGCTAGGATAGTGGTATTAAAGAGGGAAATACATCTGAGAGAGATTATTAAAGTAGAATCAATGGAAATTAACATCTGCTTGAGTGTAAGAGCCAACTTTTGAGAATCTGCACATGTGTTGTCTTATTCATCTAAACCTATACCCTAGTGTTATCTAAAGTTCTTCCACATTATGCAGTCATTCCAACTATAATAGATACACAAGAGTAACATTGATGGAGCTGAACAGAATTAATATCCACACTGCTACACAGAGTGTTGGGAAGAATCAGGCTTCACACAAAGGTCCGCTGAAACCAAGATTTTCCCTAGTTTGCTGCCCACCTCCCCCATTCCTGTGATAAAAAAGTCATGGAAACTGAGATAGGGAATTATTTTAATGAAGTTCACATAACAA